TGTTCTCCCATCTGCTTTGTTCTTCCATTCTTTTCTCCCTTCTTGTATATTGCCCCCCTCCCCAGCACCCAAACTATCCTGTGTCTATTCTCTGCCCTGTGCTCCACCTTCCCATCCCTCCCCTCACCCCCCTACATCCCAGCAACCAGCAAAGAATCCACGCCCCTTTAGTATGGGTTCTTTTTCTTCGTCTTTGCAGTACTTTTCCTTTTGTGACTGATTAATTTCACTCAACATAATGTCCTCAAGGTTCATCCATGTTAGGTGGTGGCTTGCAGCTTCCTTGTTATTTTTCAAGGTAGCATAATATTCCACTGTGTGTATGTGTGTTTGGACTTCCAAAGCAAACCAAACCCACTGCCATGAATTAGATTTTGACTCATAACAACCCTATAGAGGGTTTTTGAGGTTGTGAATCTATGAGAGCAGAAAACCTCATGTTTCTCATGTGGTGGGTTTGAATTGCTGACCTTGAGGTTAGCAGTCTGGTGCTTATCCTACAGCACCACTAGGGCTCCTGTGTTTGGACTCTGTTATTCCTAATTCCAAAGCTTGCCCCTGACGCCATCCCTCTTAACCCAGAATCTCCCAGTATCATGCCTTCATTTAAGAAACACTAATAATTTCCTAACTCATATGGCCAAACATCAGATTTACAATTATTCAATTTTTTTGAGAATTAATGGCAAAAGTGCAAAAATAAAGAACAGAGAATAGAATCTGAGATGGTTGTAATATGTTTTTTAAAGTTTGAAAAGTGTGACATACATTTTCCTTTATATATAACTAATATGATGGCTCATTTTTTGAAAGCAAATATTGAATACTCTAGATGTGCCCTGTATAGGACTGTAGAGATGACAGAGATAAGAAAATGGTCTTTGTCCTCAAAAAGACAAGTGGAAAAAAAAGTTTGTAGTTGTCTAACATGTAACAGTGAATATTGTTATTAAGTGCTGGTGAGTTGGTCCGACTCATACTGACTGTCTATTGTTTCTGAGGAGTGGCTGGTAGGTTTGAACTACCGCTCTTGTAGTTAGCAGTCCAGTGCTTATATAGTCAGGTGCTAAATTGTGTGTGTGGTAAGACCAGTTAGTTTTGCAGGTTTCAGAGGGTGGCAGAAACCAGGATGAGAACAAAGGTTTTCTAGAGGAAAAACCTTGATGTCTGTAAGGATGAAAGGAGATTGAATAGCTAAAAACGACAGGAGCTGAGTTGGGACAGTGGCATACTAATTAGAAAGTTCCAATTTTCCCAACTGAATTACCAAACTGGTTTCTTGCTGGCTGCACTTCCCTTGTCTTTGAATTCTAGACAAATGGTTGTCACAGCCAAGCTTAATCCTATCTCAGTGTCCTATGTGACCTATATCTGAAGCAGTGAAATCAATCAGATGCAGAGTGTTATTTACATAACCAATAGCTTCCTGCTTCATGCATTCACGGACTTCTTTTAAGGTTGCTAGAGTACACTTTGTTTAATATTTGAACCTACAGAAGTTGAAAGCCAAGTACTTATTTAAATATTGATCAAGCTCAGTGCTTGAGAGAAGGTAAGAAAACTGCAGATAGCGTGATTATATATCCTCAGTTGGGAAAGGTTTCACAATTCCTCATTTTCCTTGTTTGTATTCTTTCTTGTGAGAAGGAGGTTTGATGAAAAGTCTTATAATATTTGTTCCTCCTCTCACTTTTTCTTATTTTTTCCTATCTACATACCACACAGATTACTGGGAGAAAATGAAGGAAAAAAAAAACCCCAAAACAAACAAACAATTCACCAAGATTCAATACTAGTAATGTGAAAAAGAAGAAAGATTTTGCTCATCAGAGTTTGGAAACCATCTTTCCTGCGATGTTGATTCAGTAGACATTTTAGGGCTGAAAAAAAAAAAAAAAATAAAATATATATATAATTTTGAAAACAGTATTGTTTTTCTTTTTATCTTGAGTACCTTGAAGTTCTGGCAGTAAGCAGAAACTTCTCCAAGGCAGTGTCTGAATCAGGCTTTGAGCTCACAGCTGTGTAGAGTTGAATCAGCTAAGATTACAGCCATTGGTCAGAAGTGTGAGGCCAATGCACTGGGCCCTTTTATTAAGGTGGAATAGTCCTTGACCTTTGACTTGGAACAGACCTAAGGACTCTAGACACAGAGACTTTTTTTCTCAGGGAACGTCAATCTGTCTTCTTCAGCCTCCCCTTCTTCTTCCTGCTCCATATCAGCAAGATGGGCTGAGGAAGGTGATGGTAGGGAGGGAGGCTGCAGAAATGGCAGAAATGGTCAAGGCCCAGGAGAAATAATAATGACAGCAGCCACGGGGTGGAAAGAGATGAGCCTTTCTGGATTGGTGCCTTGGTGGATCGCTTCCCTGGTTCTAGGGAAGGCAAATCTACACAGGACCAAGAAACAACAAAACAGACAGTGTAAGTAATTACAACTAAAAAATTCCCCACTGACATTGAGTCAAATCTTACTCCTGGTTTCCAAGGCTGTAAATCTTTATTGGAACAGAAAACCTCACCTTTCTACCATGGAATTGCTGGTGGGTTTGTACTACCGACCTTGTGGTTAGCAGTCCAGTGCTTATCTGATAGCACCACCAGGGCTCCTTGTTGTTGTTGTTGAGTGCCGTTGAGTCAATTCTGACCCAAAACGACCCTGTATAGGGTTTCCAAGGAGCAGCTAGTGAGCTTGAACCGCCAACCTTGCAGTTCAAACAGCTTTGCAGTCTGTCGCATTAACCCACAGTACCACACTAGGACTCGTTAGGTATTTATAAATAAAGTTAAATTGTTGATTTCCCTTTTTAAGCTACTATAGTTGTCTTCCTTTTATGAAGTCTTGGCTAATGGAGAAGCTTCGATATTGGGGTTCTGATCAGTTCTAATTGGAATGGTACCTTGGATGATAGAAGTGTTGTTTTTAAAAAAAGTTAATAGCTATTCCTTGTTTTTTTAAAAAAGGTTATGGTTTTCATGAGTTTAGACTCTGCTATTTCTAATTCCAAAGCTTGCCCCCAACATCTCTTTTAACCCACGGTCTCCTAGTATCATGCTTTCATTTAAGAAACACCAATAATTTCCTGACTCATATGGCCAAACATCAAATTTATAATTATTCAATTTTTTTGAGAATTATTGGAAAAGGCCAGAGAATAAAGAACAGAAAAGAATTAGAGAATAGCATTTGAGATGGTTGTAATATGTTTCTTAATATATATTTCTTTTATGTATAATTAATACTAGCTCTGATAGCATAGTGATTACAAGTTGGGCTGTTAACCTCAAGGTCGGCAGTTCGAAACTACCAGCGGTTCCTCGGGAGAAAGATGAGGCTTTCTGCTCCGGTAAAGATTTATACAGCCTTGGAAACCCTATGCAAGGTCACTATGAGTTGGAACCAACTCAATGGCACATCACAACCATAACAAACATGATGGCTCAATTGTTAAAAGCCAATATTGACTACTGTAGATGTGTCCTGTATAGGACTTTAGAGATGACAAGGATAAGAAAACAGTCTTTGTCCTTATAAAGACAAATTGAAAAACAGGATAAGAGCTTGTTTATTGTCCAACATGTAACAGTGAATATTGTTGTTAAATGCGGTCTGTCAAGTCAGTCTGACTCATAGTGACCATCTATGGTTTCTGAGGAGTGGCTAGTGGGTTTGAACTACAGACCTTGAGGTTAACAGTCCAGTGCTTATATGTTATTGTTATTATTGTTAAAGGAGCTCTGGTAGCATAGTGGTTATGAATTGGGCTGTGAGCCGCTAGGTCAGTAGTTCGAAACTACCAGCTGTTCCGCAGGAGAAAGATGAGGCTTTCTGCTCCCATAAAGATATACAGCCTTGGAAACCCTATGCAGGGTCGCTATGAGTCGGAATTGACTCCACGTCACATAATAACAACAACATTGTTGTTAAGTGCTGTCGAGTCGGTTCCAACCCATAGCGACCCTGTATAGGGTTTCCAAGGAGCAGCTGGTGAGCTTGAACCACCGAACTTGCAGTTCAAACTGACTTTGTAGTCAGACGCATTAGCCCACAGCGCCACACCAGGACTCCTAGTGCTTAATACAGTGATACAGTCAGGTGCTAAATTGTGTGTGTGGTAAGACCAGTTAGTTTTGTCAGATTTCAGAGGGTGGCAGAAACCAGAATGAGAACAAAGGCTTTATAGAGCAGGCCTGTCTGGAGATTTTGAATTAGGATGACCTTTAATTGAGCCACTAGCGTGCATGAACTAAACAAGAATAGCAGCTCTGGAGCTCTGGACCAGAGGAACATATTGTTAAGTGCCTTCAAGTTGGTTGCGGCCCATAGCGACCCTGTATACGGTTTCTGAGGAGCGGCTGGTAAGCTTGAACCACTGATACTGCGGTTCAAACGGACTTTGCAGTCCAGCGCAGAAGTCTTATGAAATAAAGAGGGGGTCTGCTGATTTCTAAATAATACTTCCTATTGAAATAGACCTGGGCCATATTATGTCACAGGTGTGGTGGCTTTTGGCTGAGCACAGCTTGAGCCGCAACTCCTTTCATGAACGGGAAGGCCAGGTCTTTTCTCCAGCAGCGCCGGCCGAGTCGAGGCTCATGGGGTAGGGGTGTGCAGGCGCCGCCACCAGGGCGCAACCTCGTCCTTCTCCGGCCATGCCGGCCGCTTAGCCTCCTCGCGTCTTCGCACTGGGTGCTGGGGAGGGAAGCTAAGCAGAGATGGCCTCACCCTGCGGCGGGAGGGGGCTGGAGGCGACAGCCCAGTCGAGCAGCTTCAGGTTTCCTCCTGGAGCCAGTGTCGGGCCTGCGGGCGGGCCTCGCCATGTGATGCGGCGGTGGCTAGCAGGGCCTGGAGGTGGGCGGGCTAGGGATCCAGTGGCAGCCGGGAGGAGGGGGGAGGCCTGGGGCGGCCCCAGTTACCGGCGCAGCCAGCCCGGCCAGGGAGCATACGGCCGCGGCTCCGCCCCTCCGCCCTGGCCCCAACCGTGCCGCTGCGGGCGTTGTCAGCTCGAGGAAAGCCTTAGCGACTCAGAAGGCTGTGGTCTGGGGGAGTGTTCCGGGGCGCCCTCGGGTAGGGCGCTGGAGCCAGCGCCTCGCTTGGTCTCCGGAAGCAGCGGGGTCACACCTCCAGGTAAATGCTCTTTTGGGGCTCCATTCTCCGCGACTCCCAGCAGTCCTGGGCGGAAAAGTTTGTCCACCTGAGTTTGCAGCTGTGGGACCACTTTCTCCAGGATCCCAGGGGACGCGTGGGTTAGCAGAGCTGGAAAGGGGGTGCAACTGAGGGCTGGGCTGCCTGAGGTATGGGCGCCGCTTCCTAGTTCCCTGGGGACGGCAACAAGTGCACGGAGCTGCACAGCCCAGTGTGGTGGCTGCGGCAGCTGTGGAGCGCAGAGTGGATGGGGGGCGGGGCTGCCCGAGCGCTCAGACAAGGTGGTGGAGGTGGCCTGTCTTGCCCTCCGTCGTCCTGTTGCCCGAACGGGGGATGGGCGGATGGGAGTCCGGCCTGTGCCCTTTGGGTGTTGTGAAAACAAACGGCACACCTGTCGTGCACTGGGGGATGCTGGCCAAGAAAAAGAGAGAGTCTCCAAAGCTGGGGTCCTTCCTTCGCATCCATGCATCCGTTCCTGGTAGAGGGTGATTGGCCGGGCTGAAACAAGCTCAAACTCAGGACACTAGAGATGCACAATCGCTGACAGTTATTTTGTGGGGAAGCTTCTGCTGTGTTTTTCAAAAAAAAAAAATATGTAGTTTCTTGTTGGGGTTGGGGTGGTGTCAGAATTCTGTTGGATTTAGCGCATATTTTATGGGCACTCTACAGCTGCCGCTTGAATACAAGGCATGCGGGAGAGTAGGTGGGTGGGAGGACAATAACCGCCCCTGAGTAGGGCCTCCCAAGGGTTTGTGTTAGGTAGAGGGCATGTGTTAGAGCTGACTGGGTGCCGGGGCACCCTTGGAAACCTAGTTCTTGTTTCCCAGACACCAATTCAGTTTTAATGAGGGAATTAGCCTGCTTTCTTGGGAGCCCACTGTGTCCCCCCTATTGGTTACAGCTGGGGTGGGATGAGGAAATGCTGCAACATCTGTATTTGTGCAGCGTCTCCCTCCTTGACCCCTGCTTGGGTCTCCGAAGACGGGGAGTTGTGGAGGTTTACTAATGACTCGCACCAAATAGGCAAGAAGCACGAAAAAAGTAAGATGTTTAGAACTGATCATTTGCGATCCCTTGGAATCCTGATTTTCTAAAGCTTTGTCATCTTGTGTTCCTAGGCCCTGAGTCTGTTAGGGTAAACGAAATTCTGTTTTCATTGTAAGAGTAAATCAAAGACCTGTTCTTGTAAGGTTCCCGGGGTTTCTCTTTTGCACAAGACAATTTAAGAACAGTGATAACTTCACCTGGGAAGGTTTCTGTGTACCACGTGGCCTCAAAAAGTTTGTGGAAAATTTCTATTTTAACTGCATTTTTATTACTATTCTTTGAACCCCCCCTCATTTGTATCTGCCCTGTGTTTATATATTTTTATGCCAGTTGCCCTCCAGTGGAGCCTGACATATGGCAACGTCAGAGTAGAACTGTGGTCTTTAGGCTTTTCAGTGGCTTATTTGTTTGGGAGGCGATCATCAGGCCTTTCTTCTAAGGTGCCTCTGGTGGAGGAGGTAGTGCTGATGTGCCATGGAATCGATTCTGACTCATAGCGACCCTGTACAGGGTTTCCCAGGCTGTAAATCTTCATGGGAGCAGAAAGCCTCATCTTTTTCCCCGCGGAACAGCTGGTAGTTTCGAACTGCTGACCCTGAGGTTCACAGCCCGATTCATAACCACTACGCTACCAGAGCTCCTAAGGTGTCTCTGGGTGTACTCAGATTTCCAACCTTTCTGTTAACAGCAGAGTTTTATATCTAAGCACATAGGTATTTACCTTGTCTTGATCAATGACCAAGCTAACACTTTTGGAGTATCTCAAGAAAATAAATTAACACAGGTATATCGCCACTTTTCAAAGTTTGTGTTTATGTCACTTCACTTTTATGAAAGACCTGCATTAATTCCTGTTTTTATTAATGAAAAGAAATCCAAAGAGGATTTTCACTTTTATGAAACTAGCCTTCAGTGTTTATTTTGATGCGAGTAGTGTGGTGCTGGAAAACCATATACAGGTCACTATGAGTGGGAATTGATTCAACTGCACTAAGACAATAAGAGCAACAACATTAAAGAAGCAGTGGGCACCCCAAGCAGAAAGAATGGCGTCACCAAGCTCCTTCCTTGGGAACTAGACCTGACATCTCAGCATGAAACCACCATAATCTTGAACTGTGTCTATGGGCATTGTGTGTTAGTGTTAGGTTTTGTTGTTGTTAGGTGCCATCAAGTCGGTGCCGACTCAAAGCGATGCTATGTGCAACAAGACGACACACTGCTCGATCCTGGGCCAACCTCACAATTGTTGACATGCTTGAGCCTAAGCACCAATATGGTGGTGACCAGTTTTGTACGCTGCTTTAGTATTAATTGGCACCTTATTTTTTGGTTCTGAAAATGCTTACAATTTTTTTTTCATCTGAATGTTAATTTCCTTCTTTGTTTCACCCCATTTTAGCTCAGGAAAGCTTTCGTGGGAACATTCAACCTCTAGATTGGGAGCAGGGGTGGTGGTGGTAGGGAAGAGTACTATAAAAGCTTTTGGTATTTTGAATATAAAACCAGTATAAGGTTCAGATCAGATCACAAATTTCATTTGTGATTGTTGTGCACATTGATTTTGATCAAATAAGAGTTTGGATAGCATCAGATCTCATATTTAGTGTTTAGGGAAACTGAGTCACGTAGCTGTCTATTTAGTGTCTAACTCAGATGTGTGTCTTGGCCAACAGGAGAACAGGGAACAGAGAATTAGTGTTTGTCCTGCCTTTGGCGGTATTTTTTTCCTTATCAAAACCGCCTAATCTGGCCAACCAAGAATAGGTTATATAATAGGTTTGTCAGCAGACTTTCTCTGAAGCATCATCCTATCCTTTTAAAGCAGTTTGGAAACACTTAAAGGTAAAGAGAATAGTAATTGGTCACTAAGGTTTTATGAAATTTCAGCAGGGCCCCACTTGGGTTTCACGCCCTTTTTATCATGTGAATACTGCAGAAAAGTTTGGAATAGTTTTTCATTGTGTTCTTATAAGAAACCACTGCTTGTAGCTAAGAATTAAATGGGGCAGAATTTCAGGTGAGCTCTGATACATGACCTCCTTTAGTAGGCCAGGTGAGAAAATGAAGTGTGTTTTTAAGTAGGTATTAAAAGCAAATAGCAGAATATAATATTACTTTTATGTTATGTGCTCTGTACAAAACTGGTCACCACCATATTGGTGCTTAAGCTCTAACTTCCAAGTCATACCAGAGTTTGTCATCAAATGCTGAATCCCCAGAAAGAAAGAAAGAAAAAATGAGAAATAAAATGTTGAAAAACCCGTTACTATTGGGGCTCGGCTAGGATGGTAATAAATAGAATCCAGATGACTGTCAGGCCAGCTATAATTTTATTATGCTTTAATTTACTGATCAGATATGACAGATCTGGTTTATGTAAGTTTTCTGTAATTGCATTTGTATTTATGTGGCTTTTCGTAGGTAGAAAAGCTATAGGATTTTCTCCCTTGTGACCTTAATAAGATTTGTTATGAAGCGGTAAGTCAAGCTGAGAAACTCCTATTGAGAAGTGCTAAATTAAAAAGTGGTGTATTTGAAAGGCACCAAATCAGGGAATTTTTCCATGCGCGAGTTGTACTGTAAATATTATACTGCCCCGTAGGACCTGTGTCAGCGCCTTTCCTCAGGCAAAGCCGGGCTTGGAGAGATTTTTTTTCTTGCTTAAGAAGTGCAGGTCAGGGCTGGTATCACAGAGCATTTTTCCCTAATTTCAGTGTGCTTTGTCATTTTATGGCGTTTCCATGACCCCTTGCTCTTTTGTTATCATCATAGCATAAAATAGTTTTCAACCGTTCAAATCCACAGTGTTATGCCAGTTTGATAGTCTCGTTCATGTCCCTTTCTGTGAATGATTACTTCATTTACAGTCACTCAGCAGTCCTTTATTGAGGATCTACTTTGAGCTTCAATTTTCACATGCATATGAGGTATTTTCAATCACTTCATATACATGTGTAAGTAAGGAAGACTGTAGAAGAATCAGTGCATTAGAATTGTGGTGTTGGAGAACACACTGTAGACTGCTAGAAGAATCCACAGATCTGTCTTGGAGGAAGTGCAGCTAGAATGCTCCTTAGAAGAAAGGATAGCGACACTAAATCTCTCGTACTTTAGATGTGTTATCAGGAGGGACCAGTCTCTGGTAAAGTGGAGGGTCATTGCAAAAGAGGAAAACTCCCAGCAAGAAAGATTGACATAGTGGCACCAACAATGAACTCAAACATAACAGTAATTATGAGGATCGCACAGGATCAGGCGGTGTTTCGTTCTGTTGTGTATAGGGTTGCTATGAGTCAGAAGTGACTCAACAGCACCTAACAATAACTATGTTCCTGGCACTGTTTTTTGCTTTTATCCTCTAGACTGTGGATTTCATGTCTAAAGTGATACTTCTGTGGTTCTAGAATTTTTAGGATTTGCTGTGATCTCAGAGTGGTCTTCGGCACACTCTATATTGGCTGGTAAAATTGAGCGCTGGTAGTATAGTGGCTTATGCATTGAGCTGCTAACCTTAAGGTCAGCAGTTCGAATTTATTGCATGCTCTGCAGGAAAAAGATGAGGTTTCCTGCTCCCATAAAGATTTATAGCCTTGGAAATTCCAATACTGGGTCATTATGGGTTGGAACTGACACAATTACCACTACCACCAGATAAGTCATATAACTTTTCAATCTCATAATACCAACTAGACCCATTGCTTTTGAGTCATTACTGACTTCTAGCTGTGTAGGACAGAATAGAACAGCCTCAGAAGGTTTCCAATGCTGCCATCTTTATGGAAGCAGACTGGCACATTCTTCTCCCACAGAGTGGCTGCTCTGCGTTTGAACTGCTGACCTTTTGGTTAGAGCTGAGCACTTTAACTACTGTGTCACCTGGCCTCCTAAATCCCATAATACATCTTCATTGACTGTGATCTTTCCCTTGAAATTTGGTCTTAGGCACAATTATAATTTGCTTATATGTAGCATTTGTTGCTCCTGGAGTCCTTCTCCTTCATAACCAAGATAATGAGATTTGACATCAGTTTTGAGAATGGTAAAGTAGTTATAATTTAATAATTGAACACTTGTTCCAGTGCTCTTGGATTTGAAAACATTTATACAAAAAATACTTTTATTGAGCACCTGAGGTGTTTTCTCTTGTTTAATGTAGTATCATGCTCAATGACTACTATTAGTAATAATAGCCTTGTGTCTAGAAGCCAGAATCAGGATAGGCAAAGATTAGCTATGACATCTTTGTTTTCTACAGTAGCATGCCCAGAAGAGAACCCCCCTGTAGAATGATTACTCAAATACCAACTATTCTGCCTATTTCAAGTAGTAGGCTTCATTTGACTGATGTGCCCACCACCGTTTTGTTTTTATAAAACTGTGTTTGAACCCATCAGCTGCTCCGCAGGAGAAAGATGAGGCTTTCTGCTCCTGCAAAAATTTACAGCCACGGAAAGCCTATGTAGGGTCGCTATGAGTTGGAACTGACCCAAGAGCACTTACTTAACAACAACAACAATACTTAAAAAGTTGAGATGCTTTATATATTTCTTTCAAATAAACATTGACATTCCTTTAACTTAATAAAATAAATGACCAAGAATATATTGCATATATTAATTAAATTTACAGGTTAGCCATTAAATCTAATATAAAAAATAAACGACCATGCCCTTTGTACTTGAAGGCTTGCTTTTTTTCCTCCATCTTTTTAGAACATAAAGAAATTATATTTCATGAAATATTACAAAGCCAGATTTTGGAGCCAGACTGTCTGGGTTAGACAGCTTGGCTTTGTCCTGATTGTGTGATTTCTCTCTGCCTCAGGCTTTCCCTTTGTAAAATGGAGATGATAATAGTAACCTGCCCCATAGGATTGTTGTGTGGATTAAATGAGTTGTCCTTCTGGCAGTGTCTAGAGAAGTGCCAAAAAATTGTTGATAATTTAAATGTGGTAGATGTAGCAGGTTTTCCAGAAGGTGATGGAATGCCAGTGTCAGCTCTCTGTCATCTGAGGTAGGATTTGAGTCTCACTTCTTACTTCTCAGTGGTGTAACCTTGAGTGACTACGACCCTGTCA